CATTCCATGTTACAAAAACAAAATCTCACAGATTTGTAACGACTTTGTTTTTGGACTGAGATGCAGCTCCTGACACCACGTGTCACAGTGAAGAATTAAATCTAAATATTAAATAATAATAAAACTCATTATCTATGTTAACTTCTTAAACTAAATAAACATACGATTATTCCTTAGTGTTAGATCAATATAATTTGAATAAATGACCAAGTGAGAAGTATTATTTTTGGTACTTTGTGGTCATTAAAGAATGAAGACCGGTACGCTGTAATTCCTTATAGAATTATTCAAGTTGGCATTTAAGTTCAAGAGCCTTCTGCTCACTTATTCATCTCAACCATGGGTAGAAGTTATATATATATTTTTTTGAATAAGCAGTACAAAGTTCTCCATTTTTATGTAAAAACCAAGAGGTACACCATAAAACTAAGAAATCTGTATGTTTTATCCTTTCCAGTTCAATTTCCAATTCTTTATCCCTAGTCACCTTCTCATAATTGGCATCTTGGAGGAGCTGGGGGGAGAAGATCAGATTTAAAGAATTTAAAGTGATCCAAGCCAGAGATATATTCAATTTTCTATGTTAAAAAAAGACAAACATCTACCACTCCTTGCTGATGACGTGGTTCTTCAGATATATCACAAAGCTCAGAGGCTAAGTACATTCAAATATTCCAATAGCACCTAGGATAGGTTTAGGCCTGAACTAAGTTATTTCTCAAATTTACTGAAATAAAAAATGAGGCAAATTTTTAGCTAAAATAAAAAGAATAAGGATAATATATTGATTTATTTTTCTCATAATTTTCAACCTATTTTTCTAACACAGCTAATGCTCTCAAATGCATAAATTCACAAGAAACAAATACAAGGTAGTATGACTACATTAATTCAACCTATTTATTAAGCATCTATCACTAAGAATTGTGCTAGTCATACAAATGAAAGCAAGGAATTATGTAAAAGGGGACATAGAAATAAGCAAATGATTTCATATTATGTGATTTGTAAAAAACCCTAATATAAATATGTATTAGGTACAAGACAATACATAAGGAGGGAATGTTGGAGGAGCAGTAAAGCATAAAAGAGAAAATCTTTTGATTTGAGTTAACATCTCATACCAAAAGTCAAGAGAAAATTTCTGCAGGGGAGAGATTATTTTAGGTGTGCTGGCATGCTGTATTTAAAAAAATACAATTCAAGGTCATAAAGTTTTAAGTCAGAAAGCAGAAGGAAATAAAGCTGAAAAAATTAGGCAGTCATTTAGCTCATTTAACTCAAACATTCTAAGCAAATGTTTATATTATGTATACACTACATCGATATTTATAAACATTACTTGACAATATTACACAGCTCTCCAATGCTTCTGTTCATATCTAGAGAGCTTTCCAATTACACATGTATATATGCATGCATATATACACATAAAGACATATATATATATTGAATATATATATATATATTTTTTCACATACATCCTCAGAATAATCCATCACAAGGTACATTTTTAATAAGGCATCAAATAACATAATCATAAAAATGTGTTTTATTTATGAAATAAAAAGGTTCTAACCCAGATTACACCAAGTTTATCACAAGTGACCTAATTCTAGTTAACCTAGTTTTAGTATCTTATATAATCCCAATTTGCCATTAGAAAACCTAGTACTGACATAGTAAGTATGTCTGGCTAATGAGAGCATACTAAGTAAAATGTTTAATATTTCAGCTATTTCACTTTTCAAGACTTTGCCAAAATGGCAGAGGATATGCAGTATTATATTCACTCACCAGCAAAGGACAAAGACCCTTACTATCACATAATTTGCCTTTAAATATTTACAATTCTACTTAAATTCTATTCAATCACACAAATGCTTTATGGAAGCATTTGTCTGGAATATTAATAATTTCTGTAAGACAAAAAGGTTACAGACCAAAAAAAATCATGTTTAGCTAATCCCTTCATTTATTTACAACAGAAAGCATTTTACCCTATTTTCAAAAGTTAAGAATTTTAAACCCAAATTTGAAAGATTGAGATACAAATGTTTTATGCTATTCAAATTCCTTTCTTCCTCATTTAGCTTGTTTACTGTTTAAGGCAAAATCTTAAACAGATTCTTCACTAATTCTTAAACACATATTCACAACCATCCTCTAAGAGTTATCTTTTTCTCTACACAGAATTCTAAAGTCAAATAATAAGACTTCACAATAAGACCTCTAGAGGCCTTACTGGATTTTAACACAAAAGCTATCTAGAAAAAGTTAATATCCCAAGAAATGGGTGATTTTCACTTATTTTAAAGTGAATTGTGTCCCTCAAAAATATACTGTTGAAATCAGGTTTAAAAAAAAAATGACTAGGGTTAAGAACACTCTTTGATGTAATTAAATCCCTATGAACTGTGGCTTTAAAAAAGAATATGAGTAAAAAGCCCAAATAAAATCCTTATTACAGTACAGTTTTAAACTATGCTAAGACATTAAGAACTTGTGCTGTAATATCTCTTTTATTTCTTCATAATGTGATTATAAATAATAAATTTTCATGAGAACATTACTTCATATATTAAGGATGAGACATAAATTATCAGATTAAAAGCTACATTCCAAAGAAGTTCACTCTTTGTGGTTTAGCTAATGCACAAGCAAACAATGTCAGCTCAAGCATAATTTATTACCAGATGAACATCACTTTCTATTATAGTTTTTAAAAATGAAACCAAGATTTTTCTCCATAAAGAGTTAACATCTCATACCAAAATATTAATACCAAATAAATATTTAACAGTATTATATAGTTTGTAGAGAACAATTTATAATAAAGCAGGATACATTTGAGAAAACTGAATTTTGAGTCTAGATGAGTAAGGTAATTTCCAAGTGGTCCCATACTAAGCACATTTAGAATTAAAAAGAAAAAAGTAATCATACCAATGAAGTTCAGTATTTCCAAAAATCAACATCTTGATAATTATAAACCTCTTAAAATATTTTCTCATCTTATTGTAACTGGGGTATGTATCATCCAGTGCTTTACACAGACACTTGTATTCCCGGTTTATCTATCAATGATGGTAAGTATTTTTTTTTTTTAAAAGGGCCCATTTAGAAACACTCTATTTTACACGTGTGTCAAATTCAAATTCCACCATTTGTTTTTCTATCAGCTGCAGCCACAAGGAGATATTCAACACTTTAAAACAAAAATTGACAGGAAATATTTTCCCATTTCTAAAATAGAAACTTAACATTTTGATCCCAGCTACTCAAAAAATACCAAAAGTTACCGTTATTCCGTACAGCTTTTCAGCAGTTTTTCTCCTAACTAAGCACTAAGACAGACTTCTTGATCTCCCTCAAAGTAGGTCTAATCTGCGGAAGGCAGTGAGACACTGTTCTGCACTGTGAATGGACAGCCAGGTATTTTATGAATGGAGGCAATCACGTGATCCCAGCACCTCCCAGAACTGATATTTCCCACATAACTGTGTCAACATTCTGAGAACTGGGGTAGTTGTTTGTGTGTGCGTTATGTTTCTAAATTTAATCAAAAACTTCAAGTTCTCCTTACTTCCTGAATTCAAAAATATACATATAGACAAAGAAGCTTCGAATTTTTTCTTGGGAAATTCTTTCAAGGTGTCCAAGGTGATGGATGTTTAATTATTTTTTTATGAATGAAGAGTGTGTTATGCAAATGAGGGCGATTCACAAAAAGAGAGAGAACATGGCGGCCACTTCTGCTTCCAGACTGCGCTGACACTGCAGCAATTACCTCCTTCTACACCCGCTCATCAGAAGGGTGGTTTTGTTTTTTTGTTTGTTTGGTTGTTTTTTTTTAGGAGGGGGGATACTGCTTGTCATTTTTGTAGTTATTTCATGTCAAACTGGCCTCGGCACCGGACTTTAAAGTTTCCTCAAAAGGTCCGACTTGAGGAATGCACTTTGTTTAAAGGAACGCATCCTAAGAACTAGTCCTAACTCACTTAACTCTTTCTAACCCTCCAAAGATAAACAAAAACTCAACTACAAGAAAACGGATACTAATATTCTGCACAGAATTAAATCCATTCTCCGTAGGAAACTATTACCACCACAGCATTATTCCCCCAGGCAGCTCCTACGATGAAACAAAATATTTAACAGGCAAACTATTTCGTTTGGAAAACATAAAGGCAGCCCAAATAAGCAAAAACTTAAAATTGGGATACTCTAGAAGTTGATGAAGTCACCAACATGTTCAAGCATTATGAAATTCTGTTAAATCAACGTAATTGATGTGTCTTAATATAGCCGGAAAAGTAGAAACCAGCTCTCAAAATTCTTAATTCTGAGTTCTTTAGGAGAAGACACATCCAATATTTACAAAGGTAAACACAATAGGTCAACATCTCCCACACTCCAGGTGTCCTTAATCCTATTAAATTTCAAAAATGTTTCCCTAACCCTATTTTTTACAAGAATCTTACAGGTCATAAGTTTAAAAGGAGAGACGAAGGGGGAAGACAAAGGCTTAATCGGTATTTAAGAGTCACTGACTCATCGAATTAAGATTCAAAAGCAGTTTGCTGCAGGAGGTGCTCCCACACATTAGTTTCCAAGTGAAATAGCTATAAAGGAAGAAGGATGGATATCCAAGGTATGTTGCCTGGCATGACAGCGCAAAGAAGGACAAGGCTAGGGTCTTCGAGGCAGAGGGGCAATTTCTATTCCACTTCTATCCATCCACAGTTCTCCATCAACAATTGCCATCCCACTTCTTCACTTAATACCCTTCCCAGGCAGAGAGCAACTCAATCTAAGAGATGGAGGGGGTTGCTGCCATTAAATAAAATGGCCCCAAAAATAGGTTATCTCCAACACAAGATGCACCAACTCTCCAGGGCTGCCAGTTTTCCGGCACCCAAGTCTCCACCAAGTCTGGGGAAGTGCCGAGGGAGAACTGGGGGAGGGGAGTTAGCAATCAAGATCAATGAGGCGCTTACTCGTTGTCAGAAGTCGCCGTCTCCTCGCTCATCTTTCCCTCACCGTGATCCGATCCGGAGATGGAGGAGCAACAGCAGGCGGGGTAGTAGCAGCAGCACCGAGGGGCAGCAGGCAGCGGCGGCCGGGGGGGCGCGGGGGCAGCGGCTCAGGGGCCTCACCATGGTGGATGCCTCACCCAGAACGGTGCCCCCCCAGCCGGGAACCCCGGCCACCCCCGCAGGGGGGTGGCAGCAGGAATCTTTGCCGTGGCGACCCCAGCCTCTTCCCTCGCCTCAGCGCCCGGCCAGGGAGATCCTGAGAGGCCGGGTGGAAAAGGGAAAATGGAAGAGGGGCTGCAAAGGCTGGCTGGAGAGCTGCTCCTCCAGCCACTGGGGTGGAGCGCCGCGGGGTCGGTCCGGCCAGGAAGAAGCGGGCGGGCGGAGAAGCCGGGAGCAGAGGCGGCGCTTCCCTCAGGGATGCGGCGAGGAGGAAGCAGAGCTCCGCTCGGTGGGGGCCGGCGGGGGGGTGCCAAGCCCAGGCTCCGGGCGGCGGCGGCGCGGTCCTGCCGGAGCCCACCCCACCATCTCCCGCCCCGCCGCTGGCTGCCCGCTCAGCCACCGGCGGCGCCGGGGTCGGCCCTCAGGCACGAGCGGAACCGGACAAGGGGGCCCGCGGCGGCGGATTCCTCCAGACACGCTCCAGCCGGGACTCCTCCTGAAGGGGGAGGCAGGGGCGGCGAGGAGCGTGAGAGGAGAGGGGCAGACGAGCTGGTTGCTCCCACCCGAGCCTGAGAAGAGCGGGAGAGCTTGTAGATACAGGGTCCCGAGAAGCCGCGGCAGAGGAGAGCGGCCGCAGGTCCCCACCAACCGGTGCCCACCAACAGCTCCGCGGGCCAGCTCCTCTCGCCCGCCAGAGGGGAGCTGCGAGGGGGGCCGCGGAAGCGCTCACGCCGCCCGCTCCTTCCGCCGCCGCCGCTGCCCGAACCGGGGGCGCCCGCGGGAGAAGGAGGAGAAGTAGTCCCTCGCGACTTCTCTCGGCCGCCTGCTTCCCCCGGGAGCCAGAGCGGACGCGGGGTGGGGCTGCCAAGCGGGGGGTGCCCCGGCCGTGGCGGGCTATGGGTGGAAGGACTAAAAACTGCAGCCCCCGGACGAATCACTGCAACTCGAAGTCGTGTGCAGCATAGCAAGTTTCAGGAAAGTAGTTCCCTCCTCCCTTCATTTCCCAAATCGTTGTCGAGCCACTTGAGCGGGGAAAGGGGGAGGGAGGCGGAGGGATATGTCACTGCACCGCGCTTGGTGTGCGTGCGCGCGCTCCAAACTCTTGGCACGCTGCGAAAGGGGGCGGGGGTGTGAGCTGCTAGGGGAGCTGCTTGGGAGGTTGCATTGTTGCGGTGCGTTACCCCTCGTTACTCTGCTTGGAATATCTGGGTTGCTTGAACAAATTAGCTACAAAGACATTGTGCTCAAGGAGCAAATCTGGATGGTGCTCTGTTCTGCTGTGTGTGTGTGTGTGTGTGTGTGTGTGTGTGTCTTGCAGAACGAAGAATGGAACTGGCTTGAGTTCATCGTTAGTTAGAGGGGGTTATGGGCTGGGACTGCAAACACAGCTCCTCCTGCTGTCCCTAAGGTTGCATTGCTGCAGTCCCCTAGCTTCATGCACTAGAAGAGAGAGAACGAGAGGGGGGTGGGGAGAGGGAGGGTGTTTTAATAGCTCGCTGCCTGATTCTTACTGCGCAAGAGATATGCCGTGCAGGGCATTCATCTCCGAAAGCCAGAGTGGTTGTTAATGGAGAATGACTTCCATTGAAACCCAGGGTAGGCGTGTTACATGAATCTGGCGCATCCAGAAGCACAGGAAATAACTCCCGCTGCGAGTGAGGTTGCATAACTGTAGCGCAGGAGATGCCTCTGTAGCACCAACTGCTCTGAAAGGAGGTGGAACGCTTATTGGATAGGCAGCTGTCACGTTTGCATTGTCAGAGGACAATGTATGCATTCATTTCGAAAGGTTTTTGCAAAGAAACCTACTGGGATTGTGAGCTGGAGCCTAGTGTCTGTCCTACTGAGGACTCGAGCTCCTAATTCTGCAAATTCTATTATCTTTTCTCTACCTAGAAAGCCAGCCTATACATGCTGCAGCCTGGAGGACAGAAACCCAAACGCTCCCAAGTTCCTGACGCATCACTCCAGGCGTCAGCCTAGCTCTGTGCGCAATGCTTTTCACTTCATTCTCAGGTTTCTGTGGCCTGAGAATGAGACTTGCTGCTCCAGCCAGTTTGAGGAGTAGAGTAATTCCTGAGGAAGAAGAAAGTGAGAGAACTTCCCAAACAAACCAACACTTCTCCTCTGTCTCTGGAAGCTTCAGGATTGTTCTCTGGATGAGCGTGCATACTAACCTATTAATAGTGTTTTGCACATGGTAGCACTTAATAAATGTTTGAAGAATGAACGGAAGAACTGAAAGCAGTCAGTATGCCCCAAAATCATCCTATTGGTTTCTGAGGGTTTTTTATTTAACTGACTTCCTTCTTCATCAAGGAAGGACAATGTTAGTGATGGGGAAAGATGATAGGAAGACCTGCCTTTTATAACTTGTCCTTGCGAAGAACATGTAATTGGGAGTGTTGATAAGGGCCTCTTCTTCCAATACCCATTAAACACTTTGGGCACTCAGGTTTGAATCACTTATAATCACTGTTTTTAGGCAAGTTGCTTGAACTCTTTGCCTGTGTATAATAGAGATAGTAATACCCTACTCATAAAGCTGAGGTACTGAATTCTAATAAGATAGTAGAAACACACAAAACACTTAGAAAAGATTGAGTTCATAGAACTCAAGAAGTCCTAGCTATTATGATTATTTTGTAAAACAGAGATAATAAGCTCCATGGTAAAATGATGGCAATTGCTCTGAAAGTCCTAAATGTAAATGATTCACTATTGGTGTTCATTCAACAAATAATTCACTGTTCATCTTTTGTGTATTCCCCTTGCTAGACATATGACCTGGTCTTTAGAAGCTATTGATACGATAACTATCACAGTAATGGATAAGTGTAAAGAGAGTTGGTCATTTGCAAAAGCAATTTTCACTTTTGAAGATGTATGTCTGTTAGTTCTGGCACATCAGGGAAATCATCCATACCAGTTTTAGGAGATGATATGAAAACCATCTTTGTTGTCATGTGCCAGGCAGTGTAGGCCACTTTTAAACACATGACTTACTTAAAGAGTCAAGATGTGATTGACAGTTCAAATTGGCCCTTTTTAGATTGTACTGAACCCCTATGGCCAAGACACAATAACCAAACCATTCACTGCTTTGGTGGTCTCCATGCCATTCTTGGGACACTTTTGTGCCCTTTTTAACAACACATTTGTCATTCCTCTTAGCCAATTGTTGACGATCTTACCAACTTTTTAAAAAATTTCCATGGTCTGGTAATTGTATAAGTCTTCGATCAATCAGAAAGATCCTACAATGAGGCTCAGAGCCTAGGGATCTTCTAGCTGATGTTTAGTCAGCAGCTGCCCTAAATTCAAGGTGTCTCACAACCGATCTGTCCCAGTGCCTGGCAATCAAAGGCAATATGTGAGATTTTATTTAGATTCTGATTTGAAAAAATATTTTAAAATTTGATACAACTGGGGGACTTTGAACATTATCTGGAAATTTGATGAGATAAAAAATTTTTCAAGTTTTGATTCATGATTATGTTTTTTAAGTCCTTATCTTTCAAAGATAAATATTCAAATATTCACAGATAAAATTGTATCTGATTTGCTTCAGAATCATTCAGTGTAGTGAAAAGGGAGAAATGTGGGTAGGGATATAAAGAAACAAGATTAACTATAGATTAATGAGAAACATATTCTCTTTATTATTTTATATAATCAAAATTTTCTCATGATCAGCTTTTTTTTTAATACACTGTGAGCATTTCTTTAAAATGCAGATTTTCTAGGCTCCAGCCCACAGATTGAAATCTGTAGGTCTATACTGGGACCAACAAATCTTTTTCAGAAATATGCCAGGTACTTGACCCTTTTTAAGTCCTTCATAGTCTCCCCCCCCCCTTTTTTTTTTGCAACTATTTTTGTCATCCTGTCTCCCAGCACATCCCTAATTAAAGCCTCCATTGTAGTCAAATACAAAAAACGGGTAGTCCAGGGTATATCATAGGCTTATGTAGATACTATTTGAGGACAGAGAGATAGTTCTGCTAAGAAAGGTGGATCCAGCCAGACGTGAATAACTTTGTGAGAAGCTAAATATAGAACATAATTTCACCTTAAGTTCCAACTCTATTCAGTTGATACTTGTCAAGAGGGACTCTATGGTCATATCAGGCTTCAGCAAGGAAGGGAACACATATATTTGCTTGATTGTAGTTTCTCAGGTGAGCCCGCGGGAGAAGCCTCATCAACAGTAGCTGGTTCTCACAGTGGCTCTCTGTAGTATTGTACTCAGATATAAGAATTAGCCACAGCCCCTTGTTAGAGGTGCTGATCAATAGCAACCCATGAATCAAAGAGAAAGGAAGAACATCTTGACTGTCAAGTAATTGCCAGGATATCAGCAAAGTTAAGAAGGCCTACATGGACTCTAGATTCCAGATAGGTATCAGTCCAAGGATTCACAAGGATAGCAAAATGTACTGTCCTCACTGTGCTTACTGTGGTACTGGTAGATGGTATGTGGCTCTACAATGCAAGAATTTCTCTTCCCAGGCTGCTCACTCCATAGTTACCATCTTTCTTTTGAACTCAGAATCTATCATTCAGCATTAGGTAGAGTGGTGTGTGCCTATGGTCCCAGCACTTGAGAGGCCAAGGCTGAGGCAGGAGGATCCCTTAAACCTAAGAGTTTGGACTAGCCTGGGAAATACGTGACCCTTGAGACCCCATCTCAAAAAAAAAAAAAAAAAGAAAAGAAAAGAAAACCTCAGATTCTCTTATCTTTGTTGTTTACACTTACACACACACTGCTAATTAACATTTTATTAGTTTATGCTTGTTTCCCCAGTTCAATTTTAAGTGACTTGAAGACAGGCTGCATTTCAGCAGTGGTTTTAAATAATAGAGCTTTTCGTATAATATTATGCCAAATCTTTTTCTGTGTGTACAAATGAAGCTGTTTGCCTGACACTCTGGTAGAACCAGGAGTTCCCTATGGCTTCCTCTTGCAACTAGAATACTATTAGAGTTCAGCATTTCATACACACTGTTCCTTCGACTATTAGCTGTCAGCAGATGTTTGTACACTTGGGACACTAAATAGGAGACAACCATGCCAATATTGAAGTTCTTAATAAAATACAAGTGAACATTTCTATTTCTAAAATTCCCCTTAGCATTATTCCTTAGCAGATGTTATTAAAATTTTGTATTTGAAAACTATTTATCAAAGGACTATATTTTCATGCTATACTAATGTTCGTGTAATGAATTTTTCTTTTCTTTTTTTAAGTGTAACCAGTCTCATGGCTAATGAGCTCTGCCTCTCAGTAGAATTACTAAATGGTAACCATGTTTCTAAATAGTTTCCTTGCCTCTGGCATGAGTCTGTTTCTCCATCACTAGAGTTTCCATGTTCTTCCAAACTAATACAAAGTATAAAGGATAAGTATGCTATTTTCTTTTTCTCCCTAAGGACTGCAATTGTTGGTCTGGTAGTATCCGGTGAGTGTGAAATCAGTTTACTTTTAATGCTATAACTGCCTTTTACAGGAAGTTTCCACAAGATTACGAGGAGTACAAGGGAAATGAGCAGTCTGTGACTTCCTTTATGCTCCGTATAATCTTAGCAGGGAGGATGCTTACCAGACCCTCTGCTACTAAATAAAGCACTCCTCCCTTACCATCATTCTCCCAAATGGCTTTGGCATGTTCATTCTTCAAAAACTATGTTCCATTACAACAAATAGGAAGGATTGAAATAGCCATCACAGAAGATTTCTAAGGCTATATACCCACAACACAAATTTAGGACAACAAAAATTCTTAGACAACAAAAGGCAGTTCTTGGATTTTGCTTTATGGCATTGACTTCCCTTTTTGTGAGTAATAATTAACCATTGTCTAG